CGCGCCGCAGGGGGCACTGAGGGGGGCGGGGGGGACGTCCTGCAGCGGGAGAGTCACCCCCCTCCCGCGTGACTGCCAAACGTCCACTGGGCTGGATTTTAGATCATAAAACCACCGTCATTTTAAAAGGTTAAGGAATTACAGTAATTCTGAATTGCATTCAGCACCTGACATCGTTTTACATGATTGTTATTATTTCTGTTTAATAAACACTAAACTTTCGAGGACTCTCATGGGAAATGAGGGAAACTGCACTTGGTCGTGTTTCTGGGACTCAGTCGCCCACTGGGGAAGCCATGGCAGCAGCAGGGACGCCGCTGTGGACATTCGAGCCGCCGATACAGCGCCTGGGCACTGAGCACGCCCAGCTCCGGGGCCACGGTGCCAGCCTCGGGCGTGTGGCACCCGGGCAGCTGGGTCGCCTGGAAGAGGCTGATCAAACAAGGTCACTGAGTAACGGAGGCCGTCGCTCGATGTCGGGAAGGGCGTGACAAGTCTGGGCGGGAGGCGGCGGGCATGAACCCTGCGTCGGGGAGAGGGGGCTGATACAGAGACAGGGGTGGGGCACACCCTCGGGCTCTGTCCACGGAGAAGGCGGGCAGCACCGCAGTGAGCATGCCCAGCACCCAGACCTTGGTCTCTCCCGCTAAAAGGAACCAGGGCTTCTTGGGAAAGTGGCCAATTTCAGGCTGGAGGCAGGGAAAGTAAAAGGTGAGCCTTTAACACCTTTTGTGCCAAAAGTAAGGACATGCTCACAAGTTGCTGGGGACGAATCGAAAGGGCAGAGGAGCCAGCTCTGAGGGGCTCCCGCGGGCTCGGAGGTCCTGGGGATGCTGCAGTAATGATAACAGATAATAGCATGTTGAATAAGGACAGACACATAGAGCTATAAATGAATGAATGCATAAATGAGAAACTTTTCTTACCCTAAAATGCCAACTAATAAAAATAGAGGGAAAGGTGAGATTAGAAAAATTATCTTTGGACATTCAGCCCAGAAATATCCCCAGATGGTAAAACTAGTGGGCGAACATTTGAAGGAGGGATCATTACGGGGTCTCACAGTGCTTCCCCACAGGGCACAGTGCAGACGCCCGGCAGACACCACCCGAATCGGGATCAGAGTCGCCAGGCACGTCACCAGCCGCGGAACAAACCCGACTTGTCCTCTCTGATGGGATGCAGAGAGAAAACCAAAAGGTCTGTGAATTCCTGCCCCAAACTCATCACCTGAAGCTAATCTAAAGCAAACAGCGACGAACCCTCTGGGAGAGACAATCCACAGAACGGCTGACCTGTACTCTGCACCCGTGTCAAGGTCATGAATGTCAAGGAAAGACTGAGAAGCTGTCACAGGCTGAAGAGACTACAGACACGTGGCAACTAAATTCGACTTGTGGTCCTGGGTTGGATCCTTCGTCTGTAAAGGACTTCACTGGGCCCTGGCCCGTTTGGCTCAGTGGGTAGAGCGTCAGCCTGTGCACCGAAGGGTCACGGGTTCAATTTCTGGTCAAGGGCACATAACAGGGTTGCGGGTTCATTCCTGGCCCCAGTCTGGGCATGTGCGGAAGGCAACCAATCGATGTGTCTCTCATCGATCTCTCGCCTCTCTTTGTCCTCTCCCCCTCCCCCCTCCCTCCCACTCTCTCTTAAAATCAACGGAAAAAATATCCTCCGGTGAGGATAAACAAAACAAAACAAAAATGTGCCCAAGAAATCCAGGCTAAAAGCAGATGCGAGTGGAACATTATTATGAAAGAGGGTGGAATTTAAGGTTAAAAGCACTGATTAGGAAAAAAGGAACACTGTGTAATAATAAAAGTTACCACTGAGGTAAACAAATAGGCTAGTTCTAAACCTGCATCCATAAGACAGCAGAATAGATAAATACTATAAACAAAACCACATCCCGCATGTACACACACACATAACTAATCAGCCCGCACACGGGCACATATATGCACAAGTGTGGGGAGGAAACGTCAACAAACATGATAAGATACAACAGAGACCTTCATCGGAGAGAAGTAAGGAGAACTCCGATCACCTGCCAGGGAAATGCGTTTCCTCGCATCCATGGAACATGCTCCTATATTTGGTCATAAAGAAAACCTTGAAAATATTCCTAACACGGAGGCTTCACAGACCACATCCTCTAAACAGAATCCAACGCGATTAGGGATGGTTAACACAGAGAGGACCAAAACACATTTGGACATTGAAAGGCAGTTTCCTAGCTTACACTAGGCTTAAAAAGCAATTTTTTAAATCAGTGACATACTATCTTGAAAACAAAGAATAAGAGGACACGTCATTCCAGAATCTATGCAAATCCTCAAAAAACAATGATACTCAGAGGAAATTTTATTCCTTTAAATGCTTTTGTTGCCGAAACCGGTTTGGCTCAGTGGATAGAGCATCAGCCTGCGGATTCAAGGGTCCCAGGTTCGATTCCGGTCAAGGGCATGTACCTTGGTTGCGGGCACATCCCCAGTGGGGAGTGTGCAGGAGGCAGCTGGTCGATGTTTCTCTCTCATCGATGTTTCTAACTCTCTATCTCTCTCCCTTCCTCTCTGTAAAAAATCAATAAAATATATTTAAAAAAATAATAATAATAAATAAATAAATGCTTTTGTTATTCGAGTAGAACAGTGGAGAATAAAATAACTAATATCTTCATATTCATCATAAGAAATTAGGACAGGGCCGAAACCGGTTTGGCTCAGTGGATAGAGCGTCGGCCTGCGGACTGAAGGGTCCCAGGTTCGATTCCGGTCAAGGGTATGTACCTGGGTTGCGGGCACATCCCCAGTGGGGGGTGTGCAGGAGGCAGCTGATCAATGTTTCTCTCTCATTGATGTTTCTCACTCTCTGTCTCTCTCCCTTCCTCTCTGTAAAAAAATCAATAAAATATATTTAAAAAAAAGAAATTAGGACAGGAAAACAAATGTACACCAAAGAAACCAAGAAGAGGACGCGGACCAAGGTGAAAGGTGACACTGACGGGAGGGAGGGATGGGCCGTGCCAGCCGGGGCCATTCCAGACCCTACCCTGGCCCTCGGGGCACGGAGAAGCCACCAAACAAGGCGATGCGAAAAGAGGGTATTTCCTTCAAAAATGGCTCTGGCTGTGGGCCAGGGAGAGGCTGGAGAGCGGGCAGGATGGACAGAGAGCCACAAGGTTGCCCAGTGGCCCCAGCAAGTCGGGATCCCACAGAGGGCGATGGGCGAGCTGTGCAGCTGGGGGCGGCGCCGCCATTCTCAGGGGAGGCTCCCCACGGATGGGAGTCAGCTGGCCTCCAGGGGACCCGGGTGTGTCTGTCACCAAGACCCCTCAAGTGAGTCCCTGACGGGCGTGTGGGCGAGCGTGTGAAAGCGGGTGTGCAAGTGGGACTTTCAAAAGGAATCAGGCCACGCCGGGCGAGGGGTGACCGCGGAGCAGACAGGAGCAGTCGTTGATGAGAAAGCGCGGGTCTCTGGCCGCATCGCCGTCCACAGCGGCCAGGGGAGGGCGAAGGAAGACCCACAGCAAGACGCCGCCTGCGCAGATGGGAAGCCCAGGGACAGGGGAGGGACACTGCTTGTGGCCCTGAAACTGCAGGGCCCCAGGCTGGCCCTGCGCCAATGCGAATAGGGATTTGGCCCTTCCTGTTGGGGGGCCTTCAGGGGCGCCCATGAAACCCCCGAGGAAAGGTGACAAGAGTGGACTCCAAGGAACCTGTGTCGGGAAAGACGCTCCTGTCTTCACGCCTGACATCTGGGGGCTCCTTCCGGGGTCCCAAAACGGCTGGCGCTGAACTGATGGCCCCAAACCAGCAGAGCCCCCCAGCCCCGCTCTGGCTGGCAGCCACTGGTACCCATGGCAACCAGGCCGACCACCCAGGAGGCTGCAGACCCCCGAGGAAACAAGGCCACAGGGGAGTGAAACCAAGGGCCATGTGGGTCCGGCTTGTGTGGGGCGCCCCCAAGTGGCCGGTCAAGGCAGAGACGCATGAGTGTCCCACAGACCAAGACTCAGGGATTCTACAAAAGTGGCCAAAGCCAGGCTTTTCCTGAGCACGCCGCCATGGCGATAGGAGTCTGCCCGCCGCAGGGCGCCCACCCTGGCATTCTGGCGATGAGTGTGCTCTGCATTGGTTTGCTTGTTCATCCGTACGTGCAATGAGCCCCCTACTCTGCTGGGCGCAGGGCACACAGGGCACGCAGGGGATGCAGGGCCTGCAGGGCACACAGGGCACACAGGGCACACAGGGTACGCAGGGGACACAGGGCACGCAGGGCACACAGGGTCCGCAGGGGAGAGCGGCCCACCAAGCTCCCGCCCTGGAGGACTGTGTATGAAGCAAGTGTGTCTCGTTCCCTGGGGTGAAACAATTCAACTACTGATTTAAAATCACAATTTTCTAGAAAAACGAAGGCAGAGAACTTACGGAGGAACATGAACAAGGTACAAGTTGTGTTTAAAGGTGAAACGGGAGAGTTCCCAGAAAGCTCACCCTTGGACAGGTTGCTCTGAGCTCCTCGGTCCTCTCGGGGCACACGTGCCTCTGCTGTGATGATGCTTTTGTGGAAACAGCTGAGCGCGTGGCCCGGGCTGTAGCATCAGGACCGGGTTTGCGTCACCCGTCGCCAGCTGTGTGGCCCTGGGTGAGCTGCTCACTCTCTCTGATCCTGCGGCTTCCTCTAAAAATGGAGATTATACCTATTTTCCACAAGGCCGAGAAACCCTACACTCACTCCTAAGCCTCTTTGGAATTTCAGACGACGATTGATTCTCGCTCTTCGGGGTAGCTATGCTCGGTAAAGTCACCGCGAGCACGGAATTATCAAACCACAAAGCTCTGCTCCTAGCGGAAATACAAGGTGAGGGTCCTGCCAGCCTCTGGTCACAAGATTTTGTCGGCTCGTCAGTACACAGCCTTGTTCTAGGTGTGTTTCTGTTTAAAAAAAAAAACGCCGCCGAAGCCGGTTTGGCTCAGTGGATAGAGCGTCAGCCTGCGGACTGAAAGGTCCCAGGTTCGATTCCGGCCAAGGGCATGTATCTGGGTTGCGGGCACATCCCCAGTAGATGTGCAGGAGGCAGCTGATCGATGTTTCTCTCTCATCGATGTTTCTGACTCTCTATCTCTCTCCCTTCCTCTCTGTAAAAAATCAATAAAATATATTTTTTTAAAAATGCCACCTTCCTTCATAGATGCTGTGACTCATTAATATAGAATTCCCAGCAGCAGCTCACGCGGCAGCTCATCCAACACGGATGCTTCCCCGGGGCACACCCGCCCCGGTGCTTGGGGACACTAGACAGCACTTCAGCACAACCCCGGGCCTTTTCAACAGTAAAATCGCCAAGAACAAGTGCAAACAGGCAAAACCGTGGCACCGAACAGACTTTGCAAAGGGCCCTCATTTGCAGTGAGAGGGGAAAGGAGATGGCTCGGCCGGTTCCACCTCCGGCCCCTCCAGGGCGTGCTGCTCCGTGTGCGTCTCAACTACTTTTAAACTTGAATAGTTCTGTTCCTGGGATGACCTGGGAGCAGGGCACCTAGGAGCAAGGTTTTAAGGGGGCTCTCACTCCTTTTAAGACACGCTCTGCGCTAGCCTGACCCTGAGATTGGCGCCTCCTTAAGTTTTATGCCTTGGGGGCCTCTCCCGCCCGCCTCTCCCTGGGCAGTCCCTGCTGGACATCTGTCTTTGCTGAGCGCGATGGGCTGGAATGAGTCTCCGGGTGCGTCTGTGCTGGGCTGTCCAA